AGAGAGAGAGAGGGAGAGAGAGGGAGAGAGAGAGAGAGGGAGAGAGAGAGGGAGAGAGCCAATAACCTTATCGCTTTTCTGAACTTCGCCCATCCAATCAATGTCACCTTCTTTTCTTGGCTCTCTTCATCCTTCCAGTTATGTATTTATTTTGTAGTTAACGAATGAGTTAAATTCAATTCAATGTATTTCTCTTCCTTGAAATTATCATATCTAATTGTAATTATCATAACATATCAGATAGTTATTCAATTGTAAGTATCATATGATACTAATCAATTATGCAAATTAGCATGTAAATTGTAATTTTTATGAAATTTTATATATGTTTTCTCCTAAAAAAAAAAAAAAAAATAAACATGAGATAACTGTAATGGTTGGTGAATTTAATGATAATAATTTTATTCAATTAAATAATTTAGAAGGAATTAAATACGAAAAGTAATTGTTGAAAAATGCGATCACCACCAATCGATTTGAATACACTTTCAATAGAATTGCACAAAATTGCACAAGCCAAGTAAGTTATTCATTTAATCATTTTGCAAAAATATAAAAATTTGAAGCGTTTCATTTAACAGAGCTAATGTTGATTAATGAATTTCATTGCTAAATTTATAATAGATAAAAAGATAAAATGATAGTAAATTGTTGGTTACCACGATTTGATAGTGATAAAGTTATGTTGAACTGATTACTATGATTGAATCATGATAGCTATAAGTATGATAGGTTATTTCTGTTCCTAGTCTAATGATGATACTTTGATAAGACTGTGTAATTATGAACTTTCTTTGTTACTAATCAGCCAGTATCATCAACCATAATAATGAAAATAATAACAATAATAATCGTAAGGATGATTATTTCTGATTGAATCGTTATTTTTTCTTATCTCGTTTTGTGGTCGAAATGTATCACGGATTAAAAAATTATTTTAAAACATTTTGTAAAAGTAATTGTTAGTGTTCAGACAAAGTGCAATCATATATAATCATTACAGCAATACTGTTATCATGCATAATTACAAAAATTACAACAACTGATAAGCTGGTAAATAGTGCCGTTAAATCATTTTAATGATAATAATTATGTTGATAAGCCTTGTGATAGTTGTAATCATTTGCTAGTAGTTCAGGACAAAATTGGAAGATTTCACGATGAAGCGTAATGAGCTATTGGCTGAATTAGCCGATTTTCAGCAGTCTAAAAAATTCATCGAAGAAACACAAAAAACAATCAGTGATTTAAATGAAGAAAAGGATGCGCACAGTGAAATTATCCAACAAATTAATATGGTTAATTTATTTTAATCAATACAATATTGTTGGTTTTTTTTTTTTGATCGATATGAATGGAGTGCGAGGTCAAAGGTTGGAAGTCACTTTTATCATTTCATAAAATTATGCATAATTATGCATAATTTTGCGCATATGTAAGCTAAAGTAAATCGCTATTGATATTTTTTATATGATAGCATAAAATTTGTATGATTTGAAAGTTATTTATATGTGATGCATTGTGAAATTAGATAACGGTAGATACCTTACCTTATTTCTTGCTAAATGGAAATCGAAGTAAAAATTTTTAAAAATAAATTAATAAGCTGTAACTTTAATCCTTACCAATCAGAATATCTAAACTATTTCCGCAAACCATTATCAAAAATACGAAACATCAATGCTATGAATGATAGTCATTGAAATAAATTCATATTAATCATTTTTCATCAGTGTGCATGGAAAATATTTCGTTCATTACTTTCAATTTCATTTATATTTCAACAAAATCCTAAAAATTTTGATATCAAAAATTAGAATTTAACATTGCAATTTCAAAGAATTCATATTTAGGATAAGCAAGAATTGGAAAAAATAATGAATTCAGCTAAGCAAGAAAAACGACAAATGGAAGAGAGTATTAGTCAGAAGTATGAGGAGATATTTCGTTTGCTGGAACAAACCAATGAGTTATCGCGGGAAAGCGGTATTGCTGAAGATGATCTTATCTCACCCTCAATTATACCACCAAATAAAATTGCTCCGTTAGTTTTACTTAATGAATAGTTCCCATTCATTTTTCAAAACATACTTTTGAGCTTTAAAGAAGTTAACTTTCAAAAAGCATTGAAATTTGAAATAATTAAAATATTGCTTTTTATTTCATACTTATATACTCTTTGCAAATTTGCTCAGGTACAGATAAAATTAGATTTCTTTAGAAAGCCTTTTAAATATGGCCTACCTTCACTTCATTTAACCTCACTGATCCATTTCGTAGTTTTGCTTATTTGCAGAGCAAATTCTCACTCCTCTCCCCAACAATTCGAATTTATTCCTGAAAAACGATCGAATTATTTTATTTTGAATATTAACGAATGTGAATTTTTCAGAAATTTTTCATCTGTTGGATCTTTAGCTGCTGCTACAAGCGCAAATGTATCACCGCTATTGCGTCATTTCAAGGTTAATTCAGTGCCAGCTGTTATACAGCGTGCCATGTTCAATTTTGATTCCATTTTACTGCAAGCAGCGGCAGCACCAACAATGCCAAGACCACCAACAATACCACATGCTTTCCCGACCACTTCGTCACTTTCTAAAGTTGATCATCAATCACCGCCTATGAAAGTTTGTGCTTTCGTTTTATTGGTTAATTGGTTAATAGATTAGGTGGAACAAAGAAAGATTATTCAAACAAATTGCCGCGCTAATTTATCCTAAAAGATTACTTTTTTTATTAAAAAATAAATTGCTTACTAATAATTTATATCAATAATTTTACTCTATTTTAAATTGCTAGGATGTAATGTAAAATGTTGCTGCATTAGTAGTAATTTTACTACCTATTACTAAACTAATACTTTAAAATGTCTTTTTTCAGACATGTCAATCCTGTTTCCAGCAAATTCATCGTAATGCTCCAATATGTCCAATGTGTAAAAGTAAAAGTCGATCAAAAAATCCGAAAAAACCAAAAAGGAAAATGGCAGAATGAAATTTATTAGTTGTATTTTTTTTTAGCTGTAATTTATGTATAAAATAAAAAGATTTTCGAAATGTTTTATCGTTTGATAATACAAAATCAAACACATCCATCATTAAATTCTTACATATTTCTGTAAAATATTTTACGCATGAAAAGAAAAGAAAAGAATATCTTTTCCATTCTTACACCTTATACAGTTCTTAAAAACAATATAAATATTTGAAATCCTCAAATTTTAATAATTTTAAAATTTGCTTAATTTCTAAGAAATTACTAATTTTTCTAGGAAAAAAAAAAGTTGTGTATTTTTCAATAATAAAAGGAATAAACTTTCTAATTAATAACAAATATTAATTTGTAAATTATTAAATATTTGCAAATAATACACATTTAATAATATAAAAAAATTATTACACAAAAACATTCATCTGATTTAATACGCAATGATAAAATCATTCATTTAATTATAATGTAACATTTTATTTAAATGTGTGTTACGTACCAGCTTTTTTTTTTTTTTACAATTTAAATGGATGATACGTAATTGAAATATTTCTTTCGGATGTTTTATTTACACTTTTTTTTTTCGTTTTGATATTTTAATTTATATGTCATTTGCTATTCAATAATTATTTCTTCTTTCATCATTTCATCATCAAAACGGTTCTTCTGCTCACCAAACGATTTCAAACAATTGGCACATTCGTTTTCATTCAAGCATTTCTGTTGTACAGCCCGTTTTCATCATCATCATCATCACCATCACCATCATTATCATCGTCATCACCTTCATCATCATCATCATCACCATTATCATCTGCATCTGCATAAAATTTTCCTCTCAACCAACCAATCATCCATCCATCCATCCATCCAATTTGATATATGACAAAATAGCATTCCTACGATGTGCATTTACAACGGTCAATATTGCAAGAATGTTATTTTCTCCTACTAATTTTATCATACTATTTCATTTTTCTTTTTTTTTTTTT